AGTGTTCACACTCATGGAGGCGGACCACTACTAGCCTCTTCTCCACATCCAGACGAGCTTATACATGGTGGCAATTCGTCCCAATCATCTCCCGAACAGGCTGAATTTGATTTTGAAAACTGCCCTATCGAGAAGCTTGCGATTCCGCCAGCGAAGATCTCAATTTCCGGCGCCGTTCGGAGCACCCATGGAGGCGGACCACCTGGGCTAGGTTTTCCTTCACCTGGCACACCTAGCCCAGTAATGAGTCTTCAACAATTACACCCAAACCCTGTCCAATTGATGGTTGCCATTAACAGTCACTGCTCCAAATGATTAATTCGGTGGGGGGAACTTCAATTGATGATGCAATTGCTATGGGTCGACAGCCAATTGCTCCAATTAGTGCTCAAATTGTCGAAATCAATTCTTATCAAATACTTTAATAAGGATTTTGGACTAATTTGCACTTTTTAAAATTGTGGGAGCACGACTGCAATTAATTCTTTAGTTTTTAGTTTTTTTTTTATTTGAATGGAGGGTAAAATGGTCAAAATATGGTGAAAAGGACGTTCAGCGCACGAAAAAGTGATAGATAAGGGTATAAATGCCAAGAAATGAAAGGTAGCGATGGTTTCCAAAATCAACCCCAAAGGTAGGGACGTTTTGTGCTAATTAGCCTTTTTTTTATATACTCATTTCCAATAAAATATTTTATACATAAATTCAATTTTTTTTTCTAATTTCTAACTACATATTCTTTAAAAATTCACTACTCAAATAGTGTTTTGTTTTCGAAAAAATGAAAAATGACCACGATACATGGACTCAGCCAAAGAAGTCACCGGTCCAGCCTGGCTAACTTTCCCAATTCCACTCCCAAAACCTCACACACAGCAACACCGTAAACCCAGAACCAGAAATATGTTACTGCGCGCACTCCGCCGTACAACCGCCATAGCGGCCTCAGCCGCCGCCTCTTCGACCCTCACAAAACCACCTCATTCCTACCTCTCCATTTCTCGCCCCTTCTCTGCAAACACCACGAAAGCCAACCTTACAAAGGCCAAAAAATCGAAATCCAAATCAGACGGAAAAGAAGAACTCCAGGTGACGGACACGGAGTTCTTCGTCAAGCAAGACGAGGAGCTTCGCCGCCGCCAACTCGCCGAGGATGAAAATAATCCCGCACTCGACGTGGGGCCCAATGGCCGACCACTCTTCACTTCCACCCCTTCCATCTCTTTGCTCACCAAAAAGGACGCCTGCTCTTACATGAAATTCAGGCATTACTTTAACTAAATAAGATTTTTTTATTAACTTCGTAGTTTAAGTGTTATTGTACTTCTCCTTTCAAATTGAATGTCAAGCGTTTTACGATTAATGTATGGAATGATGATCAAGTTTTTTTTTTTTTATTTGTAGTGTGGAGGAGTTGAATAAGGTGTTGCCAGAGGGGTTGCCTATGGGAATGGTGAAGGAATTTGAGGAGTCTAGCAGGAGCGCGTTGTTGATACGTCAGAGTTTTCTTGATCTCCGTGACAATTTCAGGCGGGCTGTGGATCCTTCATTGTTGGTTGGCTCTAAAGGTGCATTTTTTCAGTTTTATATATATTTCGCCCCTGTTTGACAACCATTTTAATGAGTTTTTTTTTTTGGGGGGAAAACGAGTTTTGGAACAATGATTTTTTTGGAGAACGTGGGGTTAAAAAGTAGGAAAATTTATCGTGCGTGTGTCGTTGATGAGTTCGAGGAAAAAAAAAGAGTTTTGTTTTAATGGTTGTCAAACAGGGGCTTAATGTTTTCTGCAATAATATTTATTTTGATTTAAGGATTTTAAATTGTGTGGATTCTGTAGGGAAGTTGGCGCAATAGGAAGTTACAATGAAAGCTTTTCATTGACCACTGTACTCTAGAAATGCAATATGGCATGATAATTTGGTTTATGTTCTAGACTGATGCAACATACTCATTGCCGAGAGAGACCAAATTGAAAACTCTGATAGTCTCTTTAGACCTTGGCTAACGAGTTATATCTTAGTTTTCAGATGTGGTACAAAAATGAACTGGGAGAGGGAGAAATTCAAAGTCATCTGTGTGTATGCCTTTCAGTTTTACGGAACACTTGTATTATTTTGAACATTTAAATCTACTGGAGTTTATCGAAGTATGAAGTATGATATGCTCGCTAACATCTGTTAGATATCGGACCTAAATAGAGCATACAATTGGCACTTGTCAAACAAATCACGTTAAGCCTAAACTCTGTCACATCAAACTGATGATGGCGTCAAAAATTATTAGTTTGTGTAGCCACTTCTTTAAATTTCCTTTTTCCACTTGTTTGAGCTTCAATACTCTTGAGCTTCTTTTAAGAATGAGTGGTTTACATATATGAGTTCTGCATGCTAGTATCCCTCACACAAAAAATAGAAGGAAAAGAACAGAAGTAGAAGAGTTTGTAGGTGCCATAGCTTTTCCAGAACAAATGACTAATGATGACTCCATTTTTTTAGGTTCCAAAGTTCAAAAGCAAATTGTATTGGATGGTCCTATGAGTTGTGGGAAAAGTATTGCACTAGCTATGCTTGTTCACTGGGCCCGTGAGGAAGGTTGGCTTGTGCTTTATGTGCCCAGTGGTCGAGAGTGGACCCATGGAGGACTTTTTTACAAAAATCCTCAGACTGGTTTGTGGGACACTCCTGTGCAGGCAGCAACCATTCTGCAGGTGTATTATTTGTCTCTCGGTTACATATGACTAACTTGTGATATGACATAATCTAGCAATCATTATATCTTTTGGTAGTTTGATCTCATCATCTAGTATTAGTTCTTAACACTTATTTATTTCTTCATGAAGTTAATTCCTCCTGAAGATGATGATATCCATCAACTCAATGGGTCATTTTTGGTAGTAGTATGTACTAGTATAGCTTACTATGACTATGAATATCTAATTAACTAGAAATTGTAGCATTCTCATAGTTAAGAAGCTAGCTTATACTTGTCGGGCAATGCCCTGGTCATCTTGAATTTCATGGAATTCATTGGCATTGAAGGTACAAAGAAGAGAAGACATGACAGCTTGCATGCTAATGCTCTCATCATTTTTTCTTCGAACAAGTTTAAATTTGATGACTCATATCCCTTAGTACTCCATCTCGGCAACTAGCCTCTTTCAAGTAACTAAGTAAAATGAGATATTCTACATTTATGCCACCTTAAGACTTATAATGTTTGTGTTTATTGTTAGTACGCATTTTTTAAGTATGACCTTTCTTGGTTGTTTCCTTTAGGATTTCTCAAAATACAACGAGTCCCTCTTGAAAAAGTTAAAGTGCAATACTCTTGATCCCATTCCATTGGGGGAGGGTGCTGGTGTTGGATGGCCGAAGGGTATTGACAAAATGCAAATTTCGGAAGATTCTACACTGTATGATCTTGTTCAAGCAGGTATCAATAACTCACATGCTGCTGTTGGAGTGGTAGTTCGTTTGAGGAAGGAATTGTCAGATGTGAAAGATACTCCTGTTCTTATTGCAATTGATCAAGTCAGGAAGTTTATCTTTGCCTCATTACATTTCTTCTCTGTCCTTGACTTGCAACATTGATCAGGGATTATTTTGCTTATATGCAACTCATTGCTTCCATTACACTTATCAATTACTGCTGTATCTCAACAGTATAACAGCTGGTTTACATTTAGTGAGTATGAGGAGCCAGTAACAGTTCGTTCCTGCCGACCTGTTCATGCTAGAGAACTTGCAACTGTAAGTGTAATTTACTCTGAAAATAACTGGAAGTATTATCACTCACTAAAAAGAAAAGAAACTTTGCTATTATCATCTTGTGCTTTTCTGTTTGTGAATGTTCATACGTTTGAGGAATTATGGTCTGGGATGATCAATAGAAAGCTGTTGGCAAATTTGTATCAGATCACAATTAAAGAAGTTACCTAACCATGCTTGCCTGGGGAAGGACAGTGCCAATGAATCACTGTCTGTCAGAAAACTATATCATAAATTTATGATGAATCTTTATGTTAATAAATATATGAGCCATTTCATCATGTTGGTTACTTTTGATGCATATGAATGTCTTAGAAATTAGATGCAGTTATTTTTCTAAGTCAAGGATATTATTGACCTTGTTATAATAAAAAATTCCTGTTATTGTACCATAATAAATTAAGATGAATCACTGGAATTTTGAGACTTTTGAAATGGATAGGATGGAAGTCCAAGATGTAGATCCCCCTGTAAATTGATTACCATTACATATTTCCAGTGTTACAGGTCGAGAAAATTTCAAATGAATCAGGACTGTTCAAGTTATTTATTAAGGCCTCATTATTTTTAAGTACTGTGTCTTTGTACCTTGTGAATCTTTTCTCTTGTTTGCAAGGGATAAAGTTTAAACTGTGCAACTTGAATTCAACTCAGAGTTATGGGTCTGGAATACTAGAGTACTTCAGCGTGTATAATTGGTTTCATTCCATGTTTCAACTAGGCAGTGATATTTGATTTTGTGGGTGAGGTTGACCCGGGGGGGTGGATGCAAAGAAAAAACCTATGGCGTAACTTGAAGAGATGCACACGGTCAATGTCTCCTTCCGTGATTCAGATTCTAACTTGAAAGAATGCAACTATATTTAGCATATCTACACTTGATCTCACTCTTATTGTTCTACCTGATGAATGTAATTACAAAGTTTATTTATCACATCCATCTGTTCCCTTCTTCAGTTGAAATCAAATTTAAACTTACTTGAACAAACTACACTCAGGCCTTCTGCTGATGTTCTTAATAATCTTTTCCATTTTAGAAACAAATGCAAGATCGGAAGTCATATATCCTTCCATTCTGGGATAATTTTTTTTTTTAAAGAACCTGATAGGTTACTACACTACTATTTCAGACTTTGTGACATCTAGCTTTGTTTTCGAAAGCCGAGTGAGACTGTTCAGTTAACCCTGAATCATTTTTAGCATTCTTGGTTACTAGTACACTTGAGTGGAGAACGATGGGAGAGAACCCAAATTACAGTTTGTTATTTATTTGTTGATGTGACTATATGACAGTCATATGCTCTGACTTAAGGAGGCATATGAATCAATTTTATTTATTTATTTATTTTTTTGCTCTAGGTGACCCGACTCTTAATTTCCTTTTTATATTAATGCTGCATGATGTTAGTGTCAAATATCATTTTGCAGGTGAATGCGTTCAGGTCGATGCTTCATGAGAATGACATGATGGTGGGTGCCTTTTCTCATTCAACTGCAGTAGGGAAACTTCGGCAACAATTACCAGATGTTCCCACTGATGCTCGCATCAATTTTCCTCGGTACAATTTGGATGAAGCTGCTTCTGTTTGCCATTACTATCTAAGGTTTGATCAACTGAACTTATCCCCTTTGGCATTAATTTGATTATCAGTATACAAGAAATGATTTTTAAATTAAGATCTTAGATTTTGCCGGAGGGAGTCATTATTATCTGCTGTCTGCTGATCGGATATTTCTTGTGTCTACAGCTTCATTTGGTCCTTTGACCTTTTTGTATAGTTATTTATGATATGTTAATTAGCTAGGGTAACTCTGGAATTTTAAATTCATATATGCCTTGTGAACTGAGATTAATGAAAGTAAAATGAAAAAAATAAGAGTAAAGAAGAGATGGAATGTCTGTGACCGTGGGTGCCCTATTGGGATCAAATGTCATTTACTTGTGGAAGGTATCAGCACTACGTTCTAATTTTTTACTTTCTTTTTGTTTTCATGCAAAATATGGTCCAAAAAACTGAGCAGCAGTGATCTGTCTTTGCTTTCCTTGTATGTTTCTATCTTGTCCTTTTATCTTTATCAAATTTGTCTGGCAAAGTCTAAATAAACCCTAGAGCATGTAGACATTCTTGTCCTAAATTTTTTTTTTAAATAATTATTTTCTCAAAGAATAATATAAGCATTTCTTAAAATTATTCAAAATATGCTAAATTTCTTTGGGAAGAGATCCCTTAAAATTTAAGCCTATCCAATTCCTATATTCGAAGAAGAAAGGAAGTTTACAAAAAGTTTAGTTATGGTTGATGTGTAAAATGTAGTTTCGTTGATTCTCTCTATTTTTCAAGTGTGTTTAAAATTATCTATCTATGGCAGGCAAAGACTAGTAAGCCATGATGCATTTTCGGAGGAAAACTGGAAGAAGATATACTATTTGTCCAATGGAAATGGAACAGAGATGAGATACTTGGTTCCTTTCATGCGGTAACTCCAAGAAAATGCTCAACAAATACTTTGTTAAGATTCAGTTGAGGACAAAGTTAGTTCTTTTACTTCGATTTTTCTGGGAAAATCAGTTTCACATTTTTGCAAAGTGTACTTGATGTTCAAATAAGATTGGGACGATTTTCTTTTACACCGAGGAAGGAGATCGTTTTTTCTTGTCAATGGTTGGACTAGGAACAAGTTCAGCCCTGATGTTCAAGGGTTACACTGTAGGTCAACTTAGAAAAGCAGATAGTTCTTTTGGGTCCTTAAGAATCAGAAATATGTATCTGCCTGCTCTTTATTCTTGAGATCTCTTACTTTTATTGTTCAAAAGTGATAGTGTGCACTTAACATGTGTGATGTTGCTTCTGAGCAGTTTACTTGTAGTAGGCAGGGCACGGTATACAATATTGGACTGGATTGAACAGTACATGACACAAAATATGCCATTATAATTACTCGTGCCCATGTTTTTAGTGCAATGGACAGTAATATTATTAGGGAAGTCATGAAATCAAATTATTTCGATATCAAAGGAAAAGATTCTGCAGGCTCAAGTGCAAGACATTANGGAAAAGATTCTGCAGGCTCAAGTGTAAGACATTAAACTCATTTCGATATTTTAACCCAGCATAATTTTTTTGCCCCTCTCTTGATTGAGATTTAGCCCTTGTTTGAGCCACATTTTCATTCTTATACTCATTTTCAATTACATATTCTTCAATAAAATAATATTTTTCACCACATCAATAATTTTTCCTTTCTTTTTCAACCCCATATTCACTATCACATAAAAAAAAAATGCTTTCTTTTCATTTTAATGTGCATCAAACACACTATTAATAGAACTTGACATTTGCAAGAATTTTTTGGTGCCATACAAACCAATTTTGGAAGACATTTTGGTTGCGTATACGATCTGAAGTCCGACAAAGATTAGGAGCAAGGTCTGCTAAAGCCATGCTTTACAATCTGAGTATCGCGAAGTGTGGGATTATTGAAGGCTAACATCGATGAGACAATGTTGCAAAAAGTAATAATGAAGATGTTGCGATGGATGCATGATTATATTGAAATGAATACACAAGTGAAAAGTGAATAAAGAGTTAAAGATGGACACATGGTCATACGAAATACAATAAAGCTCCAAGTACATGAAAATCTTGACATAATTGATACCGACGCTGATGTGGCCAAATTTGAATGGCCTTTTTTCTTTTGGTTTTCCCATCTTCCAATGCTGTCATGTTAAGTGTTGTCTGCCAAAATTTCCCGTAAAAAAAATGTATCTATAACATGATTGTATGAAATAAGATGAGTGGAAGAAGTTTCTGTAAGATGGTATTATATGCACAAGTGGTAGAAATGTTCATTCAAATAACAACACTTGAGACCTCGAATCCCTCATTGTTTGGCCTCAACGTTGCACATCCTCTTTGTTTCTCTTACCACCTTGCACATTGCGGTATCTCGATTTGAGTGGTCTGAAGTATCGTGATTTAAGTGGACAATTCTACAACTTGTGAATATAAGACCGTCCTGTTGAAGCTTTTCTCAAAGATATGTCAATAAATGAAAGTGATATTGATCGACGATAAATTAAGGAAACAATTGGTTATGTAGTTGAGACTGTTAAACAATCCAAAGAGAA